TTATACCCCCTTCCTGCCCAGGCCAGTTTTCAGCTTTCAGCGCTGTCACACTTTGAATGACAATTGCGCAGTCATGCACCATTGTACCTATATGACATTTTTATCATTTTTTTGAGACAGATAGAGCTTTCTTTTGGTGGTATTTAATCACCCCTGGGTTTTTTATTCTTTTGCTAAACAAACCAAAAACCACTGAAAATTTTGAAAAAAAACACATTTTTTTCTTAGTTTTTGTTATAAAATTCTGTAAATAAGTGATTTTTCTCCTTCACTGATGTGCGCAATGAGGCTGCAGTGTTGGGCACTAATAGGCTGCACTGATGGGCACCAATAGATGGCATTGATGGGCACTGATGAGGAGGCACTAGTAGGTGGCACTGATGGGCATTGACAGGCATCACTGTTGGGCACTGAGAGGCAGCACTCATATATGGCACTGATAGGTGGCACTGATAGGCGGCACTGACTGACACTGATAGGCAGCACTGACTGGCACTGTTAGGTGGCACTGACTGGCACTGTTAGGCAGCACTGATGGGCATTGATAGGTGGCACTGATGCACACTGATAGGCGGCACTGACTGGCACTGATAGGCGGCACTGACTGGCTGGCATTGATAGGTGGCACTGAAAGGCAGCTCAGATGGGCACTGATATGTAGCATTGATGTGCACTGGTAGGCACTGATATGTGGCATTGATGAGGCACTGATGGGCACTAGCAGGTGGCATTGATGGGCACTGACAAGTGGCATTGATGGGCACTGACAGGTGGCACTTCTGGGGCCACACTGATTAGCAGGGCACACTGATCATCAGTGCCCTGATGATCAGGGCACATGTCCCCTCTGAGGAATGCCGATTACTGGCTCTCCTCTCGAGCTGTCAGCGTGACAGCTCGTGAGGAGAGAAATGCTGATAACCGGCATTTCCCTATTTACATGTGATCAGCTGTGATTGGACACAGCTGATCACATGACTGAGCTGACATCTTCGGCTCTTTCCGTCGATTGGTGATCTGCTGTGTCCGAGGGACACATTGCACCACCGATCGCTGCGCTGCGCGCCCCTGGATCCGTGCATGCGTGGTTAGAGTGGGACAATGTCATGTGACGTCCTCCCAGAACGAGAGAACCGCCTTACGCTTGTCATTACACTATATGGCGTGCGGGAGGCGGTTAAAGCCCTGCATACACCTGTACAATTACTGTGCTTTGGGTTAAGAAAACATGGACCCAGGATTGGAGATTTCATCCCTCCCAGATCACTTTGAAATCTACAGGCTCCAGATCCCAAAACGGACTTTACGAACAAATGAGGAAACTGAAAAGCCAGTTTCCTCTGCATTAGGTAAACCCTCTGGAGCCCCTCAGCCTGTTTAATTGGGAATCCTGGGATATTATCTTGATTCTCACAGTGACAGTAGCCAGAAGTGTGTGTGTGTGTGTATCAAATTGGATATGTAAAAAGAGTTAAAATCAAATGGGATATGAGGGATTTGTAGAGGAAAGTGTTAGCCATACAATGTATAAATTCAACAGTGGTTTAATATAATACACACACTGAGATATTTAGTAGGGTGTTTAACAAAGTATCTATTCCAGTGTTATATATACTTGGTAGCACATTTGAATGGGAAAACTTGTTACAATGTAATAAAAAAAAAAAAAACCTTATGTGTGTCCTGGACATAAGAACTGAGGCTCCATGCATACAAGCTCCTAGCAGCAGCATTTAGCCTTTTTTATTCTGCCTCTAGAAGCAACTAATGTTATCCTATGTGTCCATGCACACTTTGTAATCTAGAGGCATTTTATAAACTCAGCATTTAGGAGCAGAATACCCTTCTGCTTTGCATTTTTTAGAGCAATTTTCCAGCAGAAAAAAGCATACCAGACCCTTACCTGAGCACTCAGCCAGGCAAGCTCAGCCAGGCAAGCTTAGCAAGCGCTTGAATAGGACAAGGAATTCCTGAAAGCATACCAGGCCACATGCCATCAACATGGGGGGGGGGGGGGTGCTTTGAACCTATGTTGAATAGGACAAGGAATTCCTCCCTAAAAACCCTGGGCGATGGTTGTGGGGGTACTTCACAAAAAAAAAAAAGTGTAGCGTAAATAAAGACAGGACAGAACTTTTAAAAAACTGTCTCTTGTATTTATTTACACTACTTTTTTTTGTTAATGATTAGGGGTATTATGTACCCCATACTCATTCACATAGGGTTGGGATCTGAGGCCCCCTTGTTATGGTTCTGGAGGGGAGTGGGGGCGCCCCCCCCCCTCTCCTGGCTGCATGGTTAGAGAAGAGTCTGGTATCTATTTTGGGGGGATACCTGGAGCAGTTGTTTTTTTTTTTAATTTTGGTGTGGGATTTTGAAGGGAGACCCCACGTCATTGCTTTTTGTTTTTTGTTTTTAAATTTGGGTGTGGCGTTACCCTAAAAAGCCATACCAGACCCGAAAGGGTATAGTAGGGATTGGGGGGGACCCCAGCACAGTTTTTTTTAGAATTTAATTTCAGCATTTGTTACATTATGATTGACTGTTACAGCGATCATATGATCAGAATGCTCCCGATTGCAAGTCTGCATCGAGAGCTGACCAGTCCCCGCTCTGCTTCCATGCTGAGAGCATGCAGGGAGAGCGCTCTCAGCACAGTAAGTTGTTTTAACAGGGCTGCATATATGTGGCCACTGGGCATTAAGGCCCACCCGCCGAGAGGGTACATATATGCATACGGCCGGTGTCAAGAGTGTGAGGAATTAGCTCAGTAGCTGGTTGTGTTTGACCCCTGGATGAATCAGAGCACGGTGAAAGAGGCACAGCAAGACAGCATGATTTTGGTGAAACAAAATTGTCATTTATATACAAAGTCTGTGATCACAAAGTGCAGATATCAAAACAGCAAAATAAAACAAGAACAGAAAATAAAGCCTTGCTACATCGGGCATCTAACTGCAAACACAGGAACTCTACTACTTGTCCTGAAACAGCCTATTGCCACTCCAACACTTTGGCTGGCCATACACTATACAATTTTCTGCCCAATTTCTTTTAGATTTACCTTCAACTATGTAGTACAAGAGCCTGCCTAACTGGATACAATTGAAAGTGTTGTTAGTTTTGACCTCCTATTATATTGTTTTTGGTAAATCTAAACCAAAAATCTCAAGAAAATTGTATAATGTATGGCCAGCCTTATTTTTCACACAGGGTAAGGCTGGTCATACACTATACAATTTTCTGCCGAATTTCCTTGGCTCTCTCTCTCCTCATTGGACATAGTGGCAGCAGCATGAGCCATTGCCTCCTGCTACTCTCAATCACAGCCAGTGAGGAGATGGCAGGGACAGGACTGAATCGCACTGTATGTATCAGTGGACACACAGTGCCAGCTCAGGAGCGAGCATGCTCAAGTGCCACTTGCTATGGAGGCACATGGCAAGGTGGATGAGCCAGGAGCTGGCGGGGGGCCCCAGAAGAGTAGTATCAGGGCTGCTCTGTGCAAAACCATTGCACAGAACAGGTAAGTATGACGTTTGTTATTTAAAAAAATAAATACATTTTTACCTGTATTTGCCTTGATGTCAGCCCCCTCCAATCCACTGTATGCCAGAAAATTAGGTTGACAGAGGAAGAGCCTGCTATAGGAGCCCATTGGGTTCCATTGCAGTGCACATGTGCTAACAGTGAACATGCTGACAGTAGGACAGAAATGAGGGATCATGGTAGTTTATTAAAGCGGAGTTCCGGATGTTTTGTGGTTATTAACAGTCAGCAGCTACAAACACTGTAGCTGTTGACTTTTAATAAACACACACTTACCTGTCCCAGGATCCAGCGATGTTCTCACCCGCGCCGTCCCTTCTCTTCTCTCCACGGCGCCAGCATCTCCACTGTGGGCACCAGGCTGTGACAGCTTGTGGCTTTTCACAGCCGGGTGCCCATTGCGCATGCGCGAATCGCGCTGCGCCCCTTGATTGGTCCAGCAGTCTTCTGAGACCTGTGAAGGTTCCCAGGAGACTGCAGGAGGAAGGAGGGGGGCCGCACTTGCAGCTCACTGAGCCTGAAGTGGGAGCGGGTACCTGTCAGACCAGGTACCCACTCCCTCCAAAAAGGTGCCAAATACGGCAGTGGAGGGGAGGGGGGGGGGGAGGAAAACAAGCGGAGCTTCCACTTTTGGGAGGAACTCTGCTTTAAAGGTTGAGGGGTGCCTGAATCACAAACCTAACTAAACAGAATTACAAATCCTTTTGCAAGTATCTCAAGTCTCCATAGACACATTATAGTTTTGCATTTAGTTGCTTAACCAGAGTACAACTTTAAAGGGATATTCCCACCAAAAACTGATATTTTGGCAATTGAGAGATATGCCACCTTAGCTCTTCAACAGTCTCACTTCTACTGCTGCACTCTCCATATATTAAAGTAAACCTAATAGAAAATGATGTCTTTCACTTAGTGCAGTAAGTTTGCCCCATCCTATTAGATTGTAAGCTCTTATGAGCAAGGTCCTCCTAACATTCTTGTTGTTTTATTATATCTGTACTATCTCCCTTTATATTGTAAAGGGCTCTGCAAACTGCTGGTGCTATATAAATCCTGTATAACAATAATAAGTGGGCAGGGTTTGGATCTCTAGTGTACAGATCTGACATAAGAAGCTGGTAACCCTCATCCACCGGGGCAGGCTGATCCTTTTTTTTTATCTTGTCCCAAATTTTTATTAGGAAAATATTCATAGACAAATCCAACATATAACTCTAATCATGTAGAAGAGCTATGCGGTATTTACTAACAAATGTTACACGCGCTGATCCTCCATAAGTTTCAGAAGGGGGAGGGATTACCAAACTTCTGAAAGGTCTGAAGGAGGGTCTGGAAATAGAGGTCTGGTCCAATGATGAGAAGGGCGTGGCTGTGTACAGTAGTGAAGGTGGCGGGCGGGGTCTGTGGCTCAGTGTGATCTGATCTGTCGCAGAACTCAGCGATCTGTAGACATGGCAGCGCAGCCGGTGTTCCTGGTGGCGGACGTAGTAGTGGAGAACTACCTGGACTACCCGACTCTGATCCCTCTGCTGGAGAGGGCGCTGATCAACTTCTCCAGCGGCACCGGAGGAGGGGTGGTGCAGCCGATCAGGACCATTGTGCCAGTAGCCAAGTACAGAGGGTGAGTGGGGTGTTGAGAGGGAGAAGACTTTCATATTGTTCTACAACAGCTGGGATCGGACTGGATGACACATGGTCACCCTGCTACACACATACTTCCCTCCCATAGGCGCGCACATACTTCCCTCCCATAGGTGCGCACATACTTCCCTCCCATAGGCACGCACATACTTCCCTCCCATAGGTGCGCACATACTTCCCTCCCATAGGTGCGTACATACTTCCCTCCAATAGGCGCACATGCTTCCCCCCATAGGCGCGCACATACTTCCCTCCAATAGGCGCACATGCTTCCCTCCCATAGGCGCGCACATACTTCCCTCCCATAGGTGCGCACATACTACCCCCTCCCATGGGCGCGCACAGACTTCCCTCCCATAGGCGCGCACAGACATCCCTCCCATAGGCGCGCACCCTACTTCCCTCCCATAGGCGCACAGACTTCCCTCCCATAGGCGCGCACATACTTCCCTCCCATAGGCGCGCACATACTTCCCTCCCATAGGCGCGCACATACATCCCTCCCATAGGCGCCCACAGACTTCCCTCCCATAGGCGCGCACAGACTTCCCTCCCATAGGCGCGCACAGACTTCCCTCCCATAGGCGCGCACAAACTTCCCTCCCATAGGCGCGCACAGACTTCCCTCACATAGGCGCGCACAGACTTCCCTCCCATAGGCGCGCACAGACTTCCCTCACATAGGCGCGCACATACTTCCCTCCCATAGGCGCGCATATACATCCCTCCCATAGGCCGCACAGACTTCCCTCCCAGACTAGGCGTGCACAGACTTCCCTCACATAGGCGCACACACGGGACGTTTTTACAGCGGCTGTTTTTGGCGTTTGACATTTTTTTTCTACAGCCAGTAAACTCCCCAGCATGTTATCCTATGTCCATGCACACAGACTGTAATCAATGTTTTTGTGGCTGGGATGTCTTTTGACTGAAAAAAACCACTGAAACTAGTGGGTTTCTAGAGGAGGAGTTTTTCAGCTGTAAAAACACTCTAACGCTGAAAAATACGGCAAAACGTGGTAAAAAGTCACAAACTGGCATTTTTGGACTTTTTTTTGATAAAAGAAAATTTTTTATTTTTTTTGTAAAAAAACTCACAAATACAGGAAACCACTGGTAAATGCGGGAAAACTCCGCTAAACGCTAATGCAGAAACGTTTAACCACTTCTCATCCGGCGCATGTATATAAACAGCCATACAGGAGCAGTGCAGGGGGGGTGGTGGCTGTTTATAAATGTCCTCCCTGCTTGTGCACGGTCCCTGGGAGCCTGCAGCACTGCGATCCAGTGCCCAGAGGACACAGCGGAACACCAATCATCATACGGGACCTCTGATTGGCCAATCAGTGATCACATGCAGCGTAGTAAGCAAGATGTCACTTCTGACATCATTGCTTACTACTAGTGAAATCTGTGAATGATCACAGATATCACAAGGTACAAGGCTATTCACAACAGCCTTGTACCATGTGACATGCTGTGACCAATCACAGCTCACACAGTATTTCTCAATGGCTGTAAGAATGCAGCCAGAGAGAAGGAGAAATGATTGCTTTTACATCCTTTATGGGTGTAAAAGCAATCAGTGTAAAAAAAAAAAAGTCTTCATCACCCCCACAAGTAGTACAGTGTCACTATGGTGACACTGTACTGCTAGGGTGACAGTATGTTAAAAAAAAACCCCATAAATAATAATATATAAAAATTAAAAACTTTTTTTTGGAAAAATTATAATTTTTGGTTTATAAACTAATTATAAACAAATTTTTTACTAAAAAGATAACTGAATAAATTTTGGCCAAGATTTATGATGAAATATTATATTTTTTTTTACAAGAAAAACACTTTTTTTTTCAACATTTTTGGACTTTTTCATTTATATAGCAAAAAAAAAAAAAAAAAATCCCAGTGGTGAATAAATACCACCAAAATAAAGTTTTATCTGTCTCAAAGCGCTAAAAAATGTATATGGGTACAGTGTTGCATGACCCGCACAATTGTCATTCAAAGTGTGATAGCAATGACAGCTGAAAATTGGCCTGGACAGGAGGAAGAGGGTGAAAGTGTCCGGACTTGAAGTGGTTAAAAAAGCTGTAAAAGTCAAGTTTTTAACGTGACTTTACACCGCTAACGTTACTAGCATTAGAAAAATGTCAAGTGTGCATGAAGGCAATTTAAGCCACTATAAGGCGCCATTCACACCTAGAAATTTCAAAAGTGCATTTTTGGAACATTTTTTGCTGTGTTCCAGCCTCCAAATTTTTTTTGCCGCATTTACAGTCCATGGCAAGATTCACACTTGCTTCCTGCGTTTGGGGGTGCCCGCAAAACACACGTTTTACACATGTTCCTGGAAGACTCAGGTGTGCATGCAGCCTAAAAAAATTAAAAAAAAATGCAGCCACTTCATTTAAGGCTCCATGCACACACACTGAGCTTTTTAATAACGCTGGTAACATTAGCTGTGTAAAGTCACGTTAAAAATGTGAGTTTTTCAGTGTTTTTGGATTAGCGTTTAGCCGCGTTTTTTTTTTGTGTTTGCGTTCTTTAGAGTTTTTTTTTTTCCCCCCCAAAATTTTTTTTTTTAGCCAAAAAAAGTCCAAAAACACTGGTTTGCCGTGATTTACCATGTTTTGCTGCGTTTTTCAGCGTTCGAGCGTTTTTACAGCTAAAGTCCTCATGCACACTGGACGTTTTTCCAGCGGCTGTTTTTGGCTTTTGACATTTTTTTTCTACAGCCAGTAAATTCCCCAGCATGTTATCCTATGTGTCCATGCACACATTGACTGTTATCAACGTTTTTTGGCTGAAAAAAAAAACCTCAGGACTAGTGGGTTTCTAGAAGAGTTTTTTAGCTGTTAAAACGCAGCAAACCGGTGTTTTTGGACTTTTTTTTTACCAAAAAATGCTAAAAACCGCAAACGCAGAAAAAGGCAGCTAAACGCAGCAAACTGCCACTAAATGCTAATGCAAAAAAAGATGAAAACCGCACGCTTTTAATGTGACTTTACACGGCTAACTTTACCAGCGTTATCTAAATGCTTAGTGTGCATGGAGTCTTACAGTGTTACTAAACCCACAACAGTAAAATCAGTCTGTATATGCAGTAAAGCATGCTTGTTATACTCACTATGGAACCTAAGGGGTTAATCCTCTGCATTGTGTAAAACGGCTGTTTGATCCTGACTTCTCTGCCCCTCCTCTTGTTGAAATGACCACCTGATACAGACTGAATCCATAGTCGCATGCACATGCTCAGTTTAGTGTGTATTGCTAAAGAGGTTTTTTTTCTTTTCTCCCATGGGAGATTGCATGTGATCAGCAGTGTCCACACAGAGGTCAGGGGTTCTGCATCCTCCTAGAGCAGAAAGAAAACTCCTCCTACAGGCTTTAACCAGTGCTCTGCTGAAGTCACAAGACTGCTCTAACTGCTGATGAGAAAAGATATTTAGCAGTTTATATTTACTAAAATAATTGCATTTCCATGTTGTGTGTACTGTGGGAGACCAGATATAGTGAATGCAGGGTCCTGGGTTTAGTATCACTTTAATTATCTGATTGATGTGTGGTTAAAAAAAAAAAATGATGTGATCCGCAAACGATCGAACAGACATAACTTCCTGTCCGATCGATTTAGACTTCATTTAGCTAGGATTTGATCAAACTGAGTCATTTGGCCAGGGCAAATTGTTATCGATTTGTTTTTCATTGATTGGCAGCACTGAGATACTATGTTCATGAATACGATTGTAATCCATTGATCAGATCATTAGATCTCTGGTGGAAACAGAGATGCGATCAATAATTTATGATCGTCTGTTACGATTGGATCTTAACTAGTGATCAAAAATCCACTTTCCCGTGTATGGCATATCGATCAAATTAGTAGTCGGAATTGATCGATTGATTTCTTTTCCAATCTCTTATCGAGGCATGTCTGGCTGTTCTTCCTGTATTTTTACCGGGTGATCTGTCCAGTAAATTTGTTATTTCTCAACCTACTTTTAAGTGGAAACAAACAAAAAAAAAAATCCTGCAAGCAGCCAGGATTTATTGCAGAACAAATGTACCAGGCCTCTTCTGCAACAGCAAACACTTCTGTCTGCTCTAAATTGTAAATATAGCGAGCGCTCAGAAAAACCAGCAGCTGGAACACTTCAAGGGATCACTGGACCTCATAACAGAAACATTATATATATATAGTGCAGCGCTGTGATGTGATTATTAAAATTAAAAATTAAAAAATTGATATAAAAATAGTTCATAAAGTCTTTGTCACAGTAATAACATCAAATATGTGCAGGCCTTCTCCTCATTAGGTGACTGGAATCAGATAGTAAAAATGCGCACTCACCGACCGCACATTTTAAATGCGCCTGTGTGTAATATTATCCAGAAGACCAGCCAGGCATGCAGCTCCAGAAACCACATGGATCCCCCTCTTAAGCGCTGACATCAACCTTGGGTGTAGCAATACCTCCAGATCCAGAGACCCTCTCGCCCCAAATGATAGGTAGACAGGGATCCCCCTTCTGGTTCCAGGTACCCCAAAAATGGAAGGTGTAGATCTGCAACCCTCCAACAGGAGAGTCAAGGAAAAAAAGGGGAACGCCAATAGTGTGGTAGGTTCAAAACTTTATTGGAGCAACACTCATAAAGCCAGGGTCACATGTACATACATACACTATTAGCCAATAAGCAGACAGGTAAGTGTGAGAACAAAAAACTTGTACTAACCCGGCAGTAGTAAAGATCAGAGACCACTGGACCTCCTCGTGGTCTCAGTGGTCAGGAAGTCACACTTGCTAATGGCTCCTCCTGAGGCCTTTCGTGCTAAATGCACTTCATCAGAGGATGGACGCCACTAGCAGTGTGACAGCAAGACTTCCTTTTAAACGCGGTTCGCGCATGCGCGAAAATCCCGCTCTATCGTCCGGAGTCCGAAAAGCGGTACTGCGCATGCGCGGATAGCCGCCATTT